AAAAAAAAAAAAAAAAAAAAAAAAAAAAAAAAAAAAAAAAAAAAAAAAAGAAGAAGAAGTTACTAGAATGAAATAAGTATATGTCCTCTCTCTCAAATGGTTCCAGAACTATGTGTAACTAGCTATTTGAGTTCTTTTTTAGCCATCAATGGCTCTGAATGCATAAAAAGTAAAACACAGTCGAAAGTGTTCCACAATTATTTTTATGAGTTAATAAGCTTGATTTTAAAAAAAAAATTATTAACTTAGTTGAATTTTAGGATAATTAAGAAAATTATTAGTATTTTATTTACTAAAATTATTAAGTTAAATAAATACTCCTAAAATGTAGGTTTATTTACAACAACACAGAGAATGGAAGAGCATAACTGCTCAATGTTTTTCTATTCTAATTATCTCTTTTTAAGTTGTTCTTTCTACTTGATTAATTTACGTATATTTCGATGGTGGATCATGTCCAATAGTTGTAGAGTTTTGTAATGTAGGAAAGTCTTAACTTGAAATTCTGTGGGCAATTTGAAGTAGATGATGACGAGCTTTCAGAGCGAACAATCGAAGTTTTAACAGAATTTCTTTGCGGTGTACATAAAAACTCTTCAAACTACTCTTTTCTAAGATTAAAGGGTTTAGTGTTGAGTTTATACATTCAATTTCTTTGCTACAATTATGGAAAGAAGGGACAGATGTCCAAGAAAAAGTCTGTAAAAAACAATGCAGTAGCCTCATGGGAACTAGTACAATGGGTTTGCAAAATAAAGCATCGTCTAAATGGACCAATGGAGAGTTACAAGCCTCGACTCGTAGTTCGAGGATTCTCTCAACAATATATATATTAGACTCTGATGAAATGTTTAGTTCAGTGGCGAAAATGATTATCATACAAGTCCTGTTAGTACTAGCTAAAAATTAAAAACTATGATAAATGGATGTGAAGAATGCTTTCTCGCATGGAGAGCTGAACCGAGAGATTTACATGAATCAACCAAAAGGATTTGAGAATGCAACTAATCCTAATCATGTATACATGCTAAAAAAAACTCATTAGAAATTGGTATGATAAGATTCCGTTATTCAATTGTGTTGAGATGGTTAACTTACTAATTTAGCGACTCAACTTTAAACTATTTTGGGCGTACAATTTGAAGCACAAACTTTGTGTGGTTTTGAGAAATGTAATGTTGCAGCAATGGGGAGGCGATTTATAATGGCTCATGTTTCTTCTCTTAGGAATCACGACTCTCCATAATAATATGATATTATCCACTTTGAGCGTAAGCTCTCATGGTTTTGCTTCGGGCTCCTCCAAAAAGGCCTTATACAATGAAGATCTATTCTTTATTTATAAACTCATGATTATTCTCTAAATTAGTGAAGGTATAACTCCCTCCCAACAATCCTCAACATCTTCTCTAAAAGAGCAGGTTGGTTAGAGAAGAAATGTTTTGGATCAACCCAAGATTTCAGGTTGGTTGGGTTGGTGACCTGACCAACGAATAGAATTCATAACCAACCCCATCATTTTTTTTTTTTTAATTGAGTTGTCGGATTTTTAATCTTCATAATAATTTTGGGAGTAGGGTTCAGTTGACTTGTAACTCTATTTTCGAGTCATACGTGCCAACCATTTATGTCTCACTACTATTTCAAAAATTTATCACTCAACAACTCCCTCCCACTAAACTATTATTTTTTCTTAGTTCAACACAATGTAAACCCGAGGGTTAGAATACTTATATATGTATGGATTGGGTTAAAAAAAAATTATAATTCAAACAATTTAGTTGGGTTTAAAGAAAATATTTCATCCTTGCTCAATTCAATCTTACTCATAAACCACCTTTGTTTTAACTAGTCGAGTTATATCAATTTAATATTCTATGCAGGGCGACACACACATACACAATGGTCCATTCTTTGCAACATTTTGATATATTTGTAGTGAAGATTTTGAGTGACTTTACAGGAAACATAAAAAGTGAAGCATCCCCAACGGTAATCTACACCTCTTTTTAATAATCCAATGACACAAAAGCTTTTCAAAAGTTCAATAAAAACATAGAATGGAATCTCCAACCCTTCATAGTTTAAACTCTTCCTTTTTTTTTTTTTTTTTTTTTTATTAAAATC